CCTGCCTGTGTGCTTGCTCCACGTGGCTCGCTCCTGGCCTGCTCTCTGCCTGGTACGGACCAGACGTAGCTTCTAGACCTCTCTCCCCTAAATAAAGCCCTCACTCTCCTGTGTATTCCTCTCACTGAATAGAAACCGTAGAAACGTACCATGTTGCCTGGTCTATTTGAGCCAGCATTCAGAAGTCTCTGAATATGTGGCAAGAACCCACAAGGTTATTAATATGGAAAGTTATTAATAAACAGGCCAACATCAAAACCTCCCTCCCCTCTCCCCCCCCCACCCCCGGGCCTGTGCTAGCAGTGCAATGACCTCATGTCTCCGAAACCTCATAAACCCCCAAACCACACGTGGCAAGGGGAGGCAGACCCCAGCTTGGCATTCCCTGGGCCCTCACCCCGCAAGCACTCACTGGGCTCCTGCCCTGCATCAACACAGGGCGAGGTGCTGACGCCACAGCCAGCAAGGCGGATGGGGTGGGGGTGCGCAGAGCGCATGCTGGGGGCAGGAAGGCACGCACAGTAAAGGAGCGAAAGGCTGAGAAGAAATGCCAGGGCAGGCCAAGGTGCAGCCCCAGGCGGACAGCGGACGAAGCAGGCGAGAAGCAGGCGAGAAGCAGGCGAGGCGAGGGCTCCACAGCGCCGCTCTGAGACCAAACATGGGGTGTGCATCCAGGCATGGCCACAAGCTCTCCGGGCCTGTTTCCTCGCTGTCTCAGGGACTTCACCCAGAGGCCGGCCGGCTGGCACACAGTGAGGGCCACCACCTAGGGTCCTCCCAGCTGGCTCCCATCACGAGGGAGGGCAGCCTGAGACGGCTCTGAGACCTCCTGGGACACACTACAACCCTGGCACTCGGGGCCACTTCCTGCCATCTCCTCTCTACCCTCACTGTCCTGCCCACACTGGCCTGGCGACTAGGGGTGCAAAAGTGCTGGCCCCGCCCCCCATCCCTGTACCCCCTCCCCAGGGGCCAGGGCGGTGGCTCCAGGGAGTCTGCGCATTTCAAAGATGGCCACTTCCCCATTAGCCCAGGCATCTCCCTTCCACTTCAAAGGACTCCTCCTCCTCCTCTTCCAGCAGATGGGCCTGGGGAGGCAAGTGTGGGAGGCCGGGAGCAGGACAGGCAGGAGGTAGGGCCCGCCAGCCCGGCCAGCCCACTGCAGAGTGGGGAGAACAAAATGGGAAGAGGAATAGCCCCCAGGGTCCCCTAGAGAACAGCAGGAAGGGCCAGGACCAGCCCAAAGGACAGGCCCCAAATCCATACCCTTCCCCCTGGGGGAGACCCAGTAGAAGGCACGCAGACAGGGAGGGGTCAGCACCCCCAACACAGCTCCACCCAGGAAAACCCAGGCCAGCCTGAGGCTGGGAGCTCCCTGGACAAGTTTCCCCACCCGTGCCTCTCCCAGCAACGCCAGCAATTCTAGGAACCATGGATCTTTAAGTCAGCGGGCCTGGGCTGCTACGACGGAGCCACTCAGAGAGGGTGGCTGGGCAGGCGAATTCCCCTGCAGGGGGGGAAGACAAGGAGGCCCCCATCTGGGCTCTGCATGCAGTGACCACAGCAGGCAGGAGGTGGCACCACCCACACATGCACCTCCGCTGGGGCCTCAGGCTTCCCAAAGCCAAGCCCGGGCACTACACCCCACGTGGCCATGAGCTCCTCCTGTGTCCATGGTCATGGTCATTCCTTCTGCCTCCAGTCCCAGCATGTAGGAGGAGGCGAGAAGAGAGGTGGGACCCGGGGGGCAGGAGTCATGGCTGAGAGTGGGGGTCCCGCAATAAAGACCTCAGTTGGCTCCTTGTGTCCCCCAGGCCCAGTAGGGGGCCTGGCTGCGACAGTGGGAGACGAAGGGACCCTCTGGAGGGAGCTCAGGGAGGGACGTGGCCAGCCGAAAGGACCCAGCATACCCCTAACCCCAGAGCTCCAGGTCTCCCAAAGGAGGCGCCTCCCTGAGGGATACAAGGCATGGAGTTGGGAGAGGGGCAGGAGGGGGACCAGAGGTGGGACTGCAACCGGAAAAAGGGCCAGGGCCAGGAAGGCCGCAGAAGCCAGAAACATTGACACCTGACCAGGCAAGGAGAAACCGGCCCAAGGGCTGTGTCAGAAAAACCTGGGGCCCTGGCCTCCACTCTGGGGGTCCAGGGTCAGCCGGCCCCACCCCAGCTGCACAACGGCTTTATCCCAAGTGGGGGGCTCCGCCAATGCCTGTGACACAGTCACGGAGGACGGCAGGTGGTGGCAGGAGAGCAAGATCCCAGGTGTCCAGGGGAGCAGGGCCACCTGAGAGAAGTGAGCCCGGTCCAAGGCTCGGCACCCCCCACCAGCCCCCTGGAGAAGGGCTGCCAGGGAGTGGGGCTGCAGCAGCCCAGCAGGTCTGTGCCCAGGGTTGGGCAATGGCCTAGCCATGACGTGCTGGTTGTGAAATCCGTGGGCAGGGGCAGGTCGAGCCGGATGCCCAGGGCTAGCCTGGGGCAATGTGCCACCCTTCTGGGGGGGCACTGGACAGAAGGGGTGGCTGGAGGAATTCCCCCACCCACACCTGTCAGCCAGAGCTCCCGCGTCTCCAATGCTTCAGGGACATGTTCCACGCCTGTTACCCTCTTACTAATCTCCCCGAGCACTGCCATCTGCCCCATTTCACAGATAGGAAAACTGAGAGACGGGTCAAGAGGCTAACCTAAAGGATGTCCCTCAGCCCGGCTCCACCCAAGCTCGCCTCTCTGCTTCCCCCAGGGGCATCTGGGCTCCCACCCAAGGCAGGGGGGAACCTTGTGACCCCAGTTATACAAACACTTCCACTGGGGTAGCAGCACCTTGCGTCCGGTGCTGGACAGCCATCACTGCTTAATCCTCTCAACCAGCTGACCACTGCACACCAGCAGCTGGGAGGGGGCAGAGTGGGGCTCGAACCCAGACTGACAGACTCGAGCTCTGCCCTGCTGTGTGCAGAGGCAGGCACCACAGCCCCCGGCCTCCAAAGCCCCTGGCTTCTCAGGCTGCTGATGCCCATGGACCCCCAGATCCCGGCCTCAAAGTTCCTCTCCCTCCCACCCCTGAGACCCGACCTCATGGAAGGCCGTGTGCTGGGAGCCTGGATCACATGCTGCCTGCTCCCCCAGAGGCTCCAGGACCCTCTGCAGCCAGACACAGCATCGCAACAGCGTGGCAAAGGCTGCAACGGCTGCAGCGTGGGCGAGCCCCACGTCCACCTCCTCCAGGCCGAGCTGACAAGGGGAAGCCCAGTGCCGGGCGATGGACCACTCAGCCACACGTGCAGACTCCCTGGTAACGTGGAATGGCGAGGCATGGGAAATCCACCCCCCAAGCCCGCGCAGGGCACACGGCGCAGCTCCCTGACCCAGCCACCAAAGCTTGGTCTGACCCCACCCTCCCGCAGCGGGGAGCACCACCCAGAGCCCCCTCCTCAGGGTTGCCCTGCCCAGGTGAGGCCCAGCATCCTGGCAGGGCTCCAGCTGACCACACCTGAAGAGCACATGAGTGGGTCCTGGGGGTCTCTGCCCTCCTCCCATAAAGTGGGGGTTGTGGGGAGGACGGGGTAGGGGGTAAACCAATAGCTACAGACTGTGAAGGGGCCATCAGGTCAGCCCTTCTGAGAAGCACCTTTGGCCTCTACAGAGGGCTCACCCCTGCCCCATTCTACCTCTCCCTGCCTACAAACCCATCCCCCAGAACCCCCAAGCAAACCCCTCCCAGATATGCCCTGCTACCCCAAGCCCAGCTGCCCATGGCTCCTGCTTTTCCATAAAACACCCCTGGCGACTGGGCCTCCAGCCACCTAACCCTTTCCTTTCTGAGGGCCACGGGGTCTGGAGCAAAGGAGAGCCTGCCCTGCCCCAGCACCAGGAGCCACAGGAAACCCCAGGGCTCTGTGGGGGTGGGGGGTGGGGAGGCACCAACCCCAGGCTGCAGGTCCCAGACGCAGCACTTCCTGCCGGTCTCTTGGGACTTCCTCTAGATCTGCTCGCCTGGGCGTCTTCTTCATGTCCGAGCCTGTCACACGTTCATGACCTCGCAGACTCAGCATTCTCCTCATGGACATTTTTGTCCCAAACAGACACGTTCAGCCACCTTCAAGCCTCTGCCTCCCTGGCCCTGAACCAGCGTGCTGGCACCGAGAGGCAGCTGCTCCCCGGGACCGAGTGTTGCGATGAGCACACGGGCAGCTGGGAAAGCCCATTCCACAGCCACAAAACAAAGAGCTCCCCTCGGGGGCCATCCTGGCTCTGTCTCAGCCACCGGCCGCTTTGAGAGCTTTTTGTCTGTTACTTGTTATTTGGCTTCATAAAATAAGCTGAGCTGCCCTTCCCTCGCCAATTTTTACTTTCTTTGAGAAAAAAGAAGCACACTTGTAAATCCAAAATCATGGGACCAGCGCTGTGGCATGGCGGGAAAAGCCGCCACCTCCAGCGCCAGCATCCCATATGGGCGCCGGTTCGAGTCCCGGCTGCTCCACTTCCGATCCAGCTCCCAGCTATGGCCTGGGAACACAGTGGAAGATGGCCCAAGTGCTTGGACCCCTGCACCTGCATGGGAGATCTGGAAGAAGCTCCTGGTTCCTGGCTTCACCCTGGGGAGTGAAATAGTGGATGGAAGATCTCTCCTCCCTCTCTCTCTCTCTCTCCCTCTCCCTCTTCTCTGTAACTCTGACTTTCAAATAAATACATAAATCTTAAAAGGAAAAAATACAATACAAAATCACCACCTTGAGACGACATACGGACGTCTGAGAGTCTGCGGCGCACAGAACTCCGAGTGGAGGGGCCCAGCCCGCAGCACGTTGCTCACAGAGCATTTCCTTAGCAGGCCGGGAGCCAGTGACGAGCTGTGTCTGTCCAGCTTCCAGGAGACGGCCTCCCCGGGCCAGCCTGCCCGGTCCTCTCGCAGCCAGGCCCGCAGGCCGAGCCCGCCTCCGTCTGCCTGGGGCTGCACGGCCTGCCGCCCAGGCTGATGACACCCCAGCACCACGCCCGCTTTACCTGGTCGTCCCGGGGCCCCTCTGCAGCCGGGCCGGGGTCCCCACCAGCAGGGAGGTGGTCTGGCTCGCGCCTGGGCTTCCTCGGATGGCGTCCAGACTCACACATGGGAAGGCTCCGTCCCCGGCTACCTACTGCGAGTGAGTCACATAGGGGACCTGCCACTTCCTGCTCCGGCGGCGGTGGTGGCAGCACGGGGGCCTCAGCTGGGCGCCTAGCGGGGTGCAGGCGGGGGCGGGGAGCCCTCCCAGCCGCAGCGCAGCCCTCTGCAGCAGTGAGGGGAGCCGCCAGGCTCCCGGCTCCAATGACTTCATGGAAATTTGAAGCTTGAAACTGGAACAATTTTGAAAAAAAAAATAATACAAGCACCAAGAGCCTTCATTAGAAGCTGCGAGTCGTGTGTTCCATGCAGGGAGTCGACGCGGTCTTAACGAGCTATTAGACCAGTAGCTTGGCACCGAGCCTCATCCTGGCTCGGCCGTCACAGTCGGCCCCGCCTGGACCTCAGTTTCCCCGTCTGTGCAGGGAGGTGGCCCTGTCCACCTCCAAGAAGGGTCCTGGAGAGCCTGGGACACCACAGGTCATCCAGGTGAGCCTCCCACCTCTGCACTCCACACGTGCCTTGCACTAGGGGCAGGGCAGGGGACGAGACCCAGGCCCAGCCATGGGTCTTCTCCCCAACAGCTGGAGCCCCTGCAGAACCCCAGCAGCCCCAGGCACCATGAGGCTAAGAATCAAACCCCAGCTCCCATTCTGCTCTGCAGCCTCAGTTTCCCCACTGGGGTCGGGGAAGCCCAGTGGCGAGCAGCAGACTAGGAAGGCCCACTCCCTAGCACACATGGCAGGGTCCCAAGCTCATTTTCTTTACATCTCGACACTCCAACGAGCCCGGGAGCTCTGCCTCCCTCCAGGCCCTCCCCGGCCCCCTCCACAGCACCCCTGCGATGGGACTGTCTGTACCAGGTCTGTCCTCTGCAGAGAATTCCCTGGAGAGGGTACTGAGGATGGCCATCTCGTCCAGGGCGGGCATCCCGTGCATGTGGCCAAATGGGGCTGCCTCTGCGCCAGGCCCTGTGCCAGGGGCCAGCAGGTGACTTAAAAGCCCTGCAGGTGCACAGGGCTCTGGGCTGTTCCAGAACCCACAGGAGCCTGGCCGTGGGCACAGCACCCACCCCTCCCCCCACTTCAAGCACACACCCCCTGGGCCTGGGCATTCCAAGGAGAGAAGGAACAGACATTCTTAGGGGAGATACTCACCATGCACAGGACTGACAAGAGACCCCGCCCCAGGATGGAAGAAAATCTCCCACAAACCAACATGGCAAAGAAATGGCCCAACTAAAGATGGGCAAAGGACTTAAACAGGTCGTTGGAGAAACAGGATACCAAGAACGATCAGTAGGCACACGGAGAAATCATCGACAAACCCGCACGGAGTTTGCACTCCTCCACCAGAAGGGCCGAAATCCAACCGAGGCCACCAAGTGTCCACAGGGCCATGGAGCAACTCCAGCCGGGAGGAACCGTACAGACTGGCACAGCCAGGGAGGAAAACGGGCAGGCCGGCCCAAAGCTAACCCCGGGCTGCACCCAAAAGAACGCAGTGACCCAGGGACCATCCCGGCACCGACGACCAAGACAGACCTGGGTCCTCACGCAGTCAAACAGGAAGTCACCCGAGAGCCCAGCCAGGCAGGACAAGCAAGCGTGCACCGACTCCCACGATGGAAACTTTCTCTGCAATAGAGGAACAGATGCCTGATGCACACCCCAGGCATGAAGCACACGTAGGAGAGCACTTCGTGTGCATCCACAGACGCGAAGTTTCAAGAGGGACGGAGCGAAGCTGCCGCGGCTCAGAGCCGGGCGGGGGTTGTCCCTGGCGAAGCTGCAGATGGAGAAGGGGCACAAGGGACTCTCTGGGGAGCCAGAAGGTTCTCTCTATTCCTCCTAATAGTTATTTATTTGAAAGGCAGAGTGGCGGAGAGATAGGGAGTCAGAGAGATCCTCCATCTGCTGGCTCACTCCCCAAATGTCCACACCAGCCGGGGCTGGGCTGGGCCAGAGCCAGGAGCTTGGAACTCCATCCAGGTCTCCCACACTGGGGGCAGGCACAGCGCACCTGCTGCCTCCCAGGCACTCCCAGGCACACTGGCAGGAAGCTGGATTGGAAGCAGAGGAGCTAGGACTCCCCAAACCAGCACTCTGAGATGGGGTGGGGGCTTCCCACGCAGTGGCCTAACCCCCTGCAGTACAACGCCTGCCCTGAGGTGCAAACATCCCACCTGGCTACACTCGTGTGTGCACAAGTGCAACTCACAGCTCTGCGCATTGAAGGTCGTGCACCCGACTGTGTGTACATTACACGTCCATTTCTTGACAGGTTTATCCAAGAGGACAGGGCGCTGGGTGCTCAGTCACCTGGGAAATACAACGGCCTGACTTGAACCAGCATGCACAGTGATACCTGGGTGCCAACCCTTGAAGGGAGCCGGGCGTGCAACAGGTACAGCCGTGAGCAGAGGAGCAGGGCCACAGGGGAGGCCGGGGGGGATAGGGAAAGTCCAGGTGGGCTGGGAGTCCTTGAGATGGCGGAGTCAGGAGGCACCTGCCTGCTTGATAACTCCCAGAGGCCTCAGCTGCAGCACGGCAGGTGGCTGGAGGGGGCACCATGGCAGCCCGAGGATCGCTCTCTGCTCTCAGTGTGAGCTGAGGGGCCCAGCCTTGCCAGCAGGGGCATTGGAAGACAAACCCACCACGCGATGACAAAAGCTGCTGTCCCACCCAGCAAGGCCTCCTGTCCGCCCCAGGCCTCCTTCCAGCTGTGGCCTTGGAGGACATAGTGCTCAGACTCTCCTGCTGCACCCCAGCCCAAGCCACAGGCACCTGAGAGCCCACCCAGTGAGGCGCAGGGGCAGGACCTGTGTGCACCACAGCCAGGTGCATGCCCAGACAACGGGCACCGACTCCCGGAACTCCCGCCACGACTCCCCTGCTCCAGAGGAGGGACCCAAGGCGCCGGGGGCCACATCCCAGCCCAAGGTCAGCCGGGAAAAGGCAGCGCTGGGATTCAAACTCAGGTCCGCCTGACTGCACAGCCCGTGATCATAGCAGCTCAACAGCCGGCCCTCCTGGGAACTCATTACAAAGCCTTCCTTGGGGACCGGCGTCGGGTACAGGAAGCTAAGCTGCCACCTGACACCCGCATTTCCTGTTGGAGCACCGGCTGGAGTCCCAGCTGCTCTGCTGCCCACCCAGCTCCCTGCTAATGCACTCGGGGGGCAGCGGGAGATGGTTCAAGTCCTTGGGCCCCTGCACCCATGTGGGAGACCTGGAAAAAGCTCCTGGCTCCTGGCTTCAGCCTGGCCCAACCCTGGCCAATGCAGCCATTTGGGGAGTGAACCAGCAGCTGGAAGACCAATCTCTTTCTCTAACTCTGCCTTTTAAATAAATTTTTTAAAATTTTAATTTATTTGAAAGGCAGAGTTACAGAAAGAGAGAAAGGGTGAGAGAGAGAGAGAGAGAGAGGTCTTCTATCTATTGGTTCACTTCCCAAATGGCCACAACAGCCTAGGCTGGGCCAGGCTGAAGCCAGGAGCTTCTTCCGGGTCTCCCACATGGGTGCAGGGGCCCAAGCACTCGGGCCATCTTCCACTGCCTCCCAGGTGCATTAGCTGGGAGCCAGATGGGAGGTAGAGAAGCCAGGCCACAAACTGGCACTCATTAGTAACACTGGCATCTCAGGTGGCAGCTTAACCTGCTGCACCACAACACTGGCCCCTAAAATTAATCTTAAAATAAAAATAAATAAAGGGCTCTCAGAGATGCGGTGCCCCTGGTCCCACTAGGCTCCCACGGTAGGTGCCCTTGCCCGATCTCCCCTCACGCCCGGCACTCCCAAGGCTGGTGAGCAAACTCCACCCGAGGAGGGCAGCCTCATGGCATCCCGCGGGGCACACTGCTTCTGCTTGTTCAAGCGGCCAGACCTCACAGCATGGCCCCAACTGCGTCCTGCACCACTCAGCAACTCCCCCCCCACTAGTGCACAGACCCAGGGGTGTCTTGGAACCAGCCACCCACTGTGCCACTTCCGAGGCCAGGACCTGCTCACCCAAGGAAGAGCGGGGATGTCCGGCCTTGGGAAGGACCAGGGCCTCGCTGGGGAGGGGGCCCAAGCCGAGGCCGTGAAACAGCGCAAAGGAAGGAACAAAATGCAGCAAACACAAGGCAGACGGCGCTGTCTGCTGGCCAAGGGACAAGTAGCACCGAGTGCTGAGCGAAGAGCGTGGCCCCTCCCCCACAGGAAGAAGCCCATGGCCCCCAGTAGGATTCAAACCCAGGTGGGGATGGGGGGAGGGCAGGGGCGGAGTGGGTATAAGAAGAGAAAACAACCCCTCCCCCCTCCCCTAAACCGGGATCTCACCAAACTGCAGAGGAGCCCGGCAGAGACAGGATCTGAGCCGTGGGCCACTCACTCCCAGCTCTCTAGGGGTACCGGGGCATGAGGGCTCCACAGAGAAACCCAGCCCAGCCCAGCCCACGGGAGCCGGGAGCTCAAGGCGGCCGACTGTGGTCAGAACAACACCGCACAGCTGTCTGGGAGGCGGCGGCGGCTAATAGGTACCTGTGTGATGCATACAGTAAGGGCTTAATTACAGCTGGCAGGCTAGGGAGCCCAGGCTGAAGGCACCTTCTTAGCCCCAAAGCCTGCATCCCGGCTGTCCTCCATGCCCGCGTGCCACAGCTTGCCTGGGCCTCCTAGGTCAAGGCCTGTCTCCTCCTCTGGCCCAACCCACCCTCCCTTCCCCTCCTTGACCCCACCTTCCCGCTGCGGCATCTGCTGCCTCCTGGAAGGATCCAAATGCTGCCCCCTGCCCCCCCCCCCATTCCACCACAACACTGCACCCACTGCTGCTCTCTCCGCTGGGCCACAGCACCACAGGCCTCCCACGAGACAGAAACATAACTGGCCCTCCTCTCCACTGCAACCGCCATTCGCACCATGGGTAACAGCCCCGTTTCCCCAGGGAACCTGGGCCGTGTTCACGGCAGAGTGGGCACGTGACTCAGACCGGGCCACTGGGAGTCTGGGAAAGGCGCCCTCCTGTCACCGGGCCAGGGCTGTGCCACTTTTGACCCCTGCCTCCTGGTGTTCCCACGCTGAAAGCCCCTCCCACGCCAGAGTGGTCATTAAAACGCTTCTGAAACCACACAAGGCCTCTGAGGGCGTGAAGGCCTCGCTGCGGTCCCCAGCTCCCTCTTGGATCCCTCCCTCTGG